GGATGGATGGATGCTGGATGGATGGATGGATGGATGGATGGATGGATGGATGGATGATGGATGGATGGATGATGGATGGATGTACTGCTACCTTCATTTAATCCTGTTTATACCAAAAGCAGAACACCTAATCTGAGCAGCTCTACATCATCTGTGTGAATCAGATTTTCATCTGTTCTAATTTTAATCTGAGTTAAAGTCTCCAACCATTTCACAATAACCTGTCACCATGGTAACCCAGTCAGGAAACCAGAAGCTTGTTGCTTTCGATGAAACTGAAACATAATCCAACATAATCTATAGATTTTCCTTATAACACAAAATATCACTGTTATGAGTCTTAATGTGATCGAACACTCTGCTTGAGGCTGACTCAGCAGTTTCATGGTTAAATCTAACCAGGAAATGGTTTTGCTTCACAAAATCACAACTATATTAAATTAGAGTCACAAAAGAAAAACAAAGAAAATCTCTAACTGGAATGACTATTACCATGTAATTCTGTTCTTTAGCAAATGAAACTTAATTTGAAAAAAAAAAAATGAAACACCCTGTTGTTTTGGGTAATTTCTTTAAAACGCTGTACCATCTGCTTTATTGTTTTCCTCTGTTCTCTGAAGGGGTGTCGGCTCGTTTTTGTTGGCTTCTAACATGTTTGTGCGCTCACTGAGAGACCACCTTTTCACGCTGACTTTGCTGATAGCAGAATTAAATCCAGGCCCATCCATCAGGCAGACCGGAGTGAGCCTCCTTCCTCCACAGCTCCACTCCCAGGCTCTGGAAACTGATCTCTGCTGCACGTAAAGCAGACGGTGCACATGCAGCTGCAGCACACAGGCAGGGTTATTACCACACTGCAGCTTTCTATCAGGCTAATATTCTGTCTGCACTTGATGATGAAGCACCAGATGTGCCGCTGTCATTTCCTGTTCAGATGCTTCATTAGAAGAAGAAAAGGAGAGGAAAGTGGGCTCACTTTGAAAGGAAAAAGAGTTTAGACATTGAAGCAGCTGATCCTTCACACAATATGTGCTGCATCTCTTTTGGAACTAATTTGCAGAAAAACTCCTTCTTAAATGTTTCCTCCCACACGTTTCTTCCTTGTGGTCTCTCCCACAGATGGAGCTAACGGAGTCCAGAGTGTAGAAGACGCCAGCCAGGGCTCATCTGGCCTCCGACGACCCTGAGGCAGCAGCTGTCATCAGCAGAGCAGACCTCCTGCTCCTGGCTGAGTTTTCTGATGAGCTGGGGCCAACTAATGAGGACGTTATCAGATCAGAGTCCTCGCCCTGACACCAACAGAGCCGCCAGCGCAACTTCTCTGACCTTTTCTCCACCTGCTCGCAAGATAAACGACCAGGACCTTCACACAAAATTGTCACAAGAGATGAGAAGTCGTAGATATTGTATATCATTCCCAGTGAGTGAAAAACTGCAGGCGAGGGGAACAGGGAGGCTCCGTAATTCAACCTTATTGCTAAACCTTTTATAGTCAGAACAGAACACTGCATCAGTGATTATCTGATGACATGAATGCTGTTTTTTTAATCCAGCAGGTAATTTAAGAGGGTTTTTTTTTTTGTCTTGACCCAACGTTTCTTACAACAACAAAAATCACAGTTGTTACTTTTCAATCAAATCAAAGTTGATTGCATGTTTTTTCTTCTAGGTTTGCTTCTTTGTTTGGTATTCCAACATACACAAATAAAAATGTCCAAACAACTGCTGGAAATCTTAAAATAGATCAAACCTTTTGATGTGCGATTCTGTCAAAAGTTTATGAACAATTAACATCTTACCTGTAGTAGATAACATTTTTAGTGACCCCAGTTTGGAAAAATGAGTTTAATATGCAGACCTCAAACTGCAGATGGACTAAATAAGAAGTAAATGGAAAGGGATGGCTCTAATAGTAACAGGGAACAGGTGAGGTGGGCGTGGCAGCACAGAAGAGCAGAAAGGTGGAGGTAAAAGGCACATCTGGAACTGTGGAACACACACAAAAAGACAGAAAAATTACCTTTTTTTAAATACAGATGTGGAACAAAAAACACACATCCTACAAGATTCAAGTTCAATTCTAAACAACACTTCCTGTCTTGGCTCTTGGACTTCCTGCCAGTCAGTCAGAGGAGAAACCTTCTGTAACACAAGGAAAGGAGGTCGGGTTGCCCTCCTTTCTTAGGATTACCCATCGCGCTGTCCTAAACTCATCCTCACACCTCAGCTGCCAGCTGGAAACGTTGTCAGGGCTGCTTTCAGAGGTCTGTGAACCCGGCGGCTCAAACYGAGTGTGAAAACCACCTGTGATCGTTGTTTGTGCACTGGTGAACATTTGCTGGAGAGGCCAGAACAACAAGGATCCCTGCAGATGAGACCTGAACGGCAGCAGGAAACCATCTGTTCTGCCATCAGCCCYGAGACGACTGGAAAACGTTTCGAGGATTGATACGACAACATTGTTGCCAGCTGTTGTTCTGCGGCGGAACATCCATGTTGTTTGCGTGGCTAAAAAAAGCATCTTTTTTTWAAACCTACTAAAAGCAAATTGGCTTTGTTACCAATTTGTACAATTGTGAGCTCCAGTACGGATAAGATAAGAGGGAAACGTTTTTAGGTTTCAGTCGTCATTTCCACAWCAAATCTATTCAGTCATTTTGAATGTGGGATATTAGTATGCACATTGTGTTGCTTCATTTTAGCACGCAGGGAGAAAATGATCTTCAAGCACTGGCCCTGTAATGGTGTTGTGTAACAAGGACTGTAAGGGCAGATGCTGCTCTTCTCCACACAGCAGGACTGCAAAACAACACACAACAAACTGCATTAAATATCTTTTCCTGTTTGTTTAAGCAAACACACACCATACTGTCCCCGAATCCTCAACAAGGATCAGAAGATGACAGCTTWACGTTCTTGATGATATCTACTTTGTTTGTGTGGGAGGAACAGTGAACAACCATTGTGTGTGTGTGTGTGTTTTTCCCTTACAAAAAAATCAACACATCTGATCTTGGGTGGGTGGGAAAATAGTTCTTTGTTTCTTCTTTTTCTTTTTTAACCTGCGAGTAAAAACGACTGTTTAAAGGAGGTGTGAGATCACTGCCTCCTATTTTCACATCRGGCTGTTTTTTTATTTTAACTGAGATGAGTCAGAGAGGCTGGCTGTCACTAAACGCAGGCATTTTACAGCTTTTTTTTTTTTTTACGGCAACGCTAATGAGCACAGCAGCCTTGGATGAATATGTATGCAAAAAGCAAAGACACTGAGAAGGAAAACACAGAAATGAGACACAAAAAAAKTCCAGTAGTAGAAAAGCTGGTAGCTTTGGCAATATTCCACATCTCCTGTGTTAGTAAAAGCAATTACTACCTCTCGTTTCACATGGGAGCAACAGAAAATCATTATTCAGTTGGAATAAATTAGAAAAAGCATTTTATACGTCACAAAATAGTTTAATATTTTCAGCTACAATACAATTAGAACTCTTCTGACCGTAG